CTCAGTTTTTTGAGTTGGCCTTTTAAAAAATTTTTTTTTTTTTTTTTGCAAAATAGTATGCTTCATATTGTTCAATGGCAGTTTTTTTGTCACATTGTCCTCCTTAAAGTACATCTTTCCAGAGATCCCTGTTATTATTCCTACTTGTGACTTTCTATGCTTTTTATTCTCAATTTCTTTTAATGTTAATTTAAATAGTGCTGTTCTCTGCTTTACAACAGGACAGTAGTTTTAAACTGTCCTCAGAATGGTCAGGTTTTCAAAGGTGCTCTTCACTTGTAGCTTCCATCACTGTTACAGGGATTCATAAGCATTCTGTACTTGAAGAATGTGAGCCCCTTTTGAGCAAATACTCTGCAATATTGTGATACTAGCTTGGTAAGGATGGTAACCTGTGTCTTCTGTTAAATATGCCTTAGCCAATCACAGAGAATGAGTGCATAAAACACATTTGCTTGGATGGACAACTGATCCAAGTTAATAAGTCGCAGAACTGCCCGTACAATGCAACTCAACCCAGCTGTGGAGTTTTAGGATTTGCTACTCAAGTGAATGGTGACAAATGCTGCCCAAAGTGGGAATGTGCATGTAAGTTTTAATTACGCAGTACTTTTGAAGTGAATTTAGGTAACAATTTAATGCATGTGTAAGAAAGCTAAGAGCTGACACTTCTATACCATGGCATAGAAATAGAAGATGCATGTTGTACAGGTTACTCGTTGTCTAATGCAATTTATAATTATAGTTCGACATCCAAGGAAATGAAATCAAAATGCTGCTTCAATATAGGATATTCCTCTTAACCCAACTTCAGGTATCTGCAGTGGACATGTCTAGGTCTGACCCATCTTGTCTTCTGTCTAACCAGAGGACACCTAGTCAATACAGTCAGTGGATTTTTTGGTTCATCTTATATCTACTTCAGGATGAGAAGATTTCCTAGACTCTGTTAACTAGCTCTGTTAACAGTTTTGGGACTCTGGAAGCATAGCTGTACTGTAGTCACTCCCATCAATTACCTAGAATTGGACAGGAAGATTCCAAACCTTAAAAAAATTCAGTTAGTCCATAATAGCAAAGAACGGATGCAGAGATAAGCAATGCAAATTTCTGCTTATGCTCGAGAGTTTGAAATAACTAGGAGTAGAACTCCAAGCCCTTTGAAACACAAAAGCTTCATCAATAAGACTGGGAAGAAGGAAACTTTCCGCATGAGCTCCTGCCTTAGGAACAAGACTAGAAGGGAACTAAGGATCCAGCATGATCCACTGTCATGCATGTTTTTTGCTAGTTTGGGGTTTGTAAAAATTACAAACCTTTGCTTGCAAGAACTGTAAGAAAATAACTGATTGCAGAGGCCTGCAGGTTGTCCCACTGAAATATGCAGGATTTGACTCTGCTGTCCATTTACAGAGGTGCAACAGCATCAAATATAGCTGAAAAACATGTGCTGCATATATGAAACTCTAGTAAGCTAGTTAACCTTATAAAATTTATTGGTTTATCTTCATATTTTGTAATATTTACAGAAATTCTAAAATAAGTTAGAAAAAACATTTATTTTTATTTTTCTTAGGTCGTTGCACAATTTTCTCTGATCTGAGCATTGTAACCTATGACGGAAATCATTTGGCTTTATTCAAAGAAGCATCCTACGTTGTTAGCCAAACTCAAGATGAAACTATAACCATCCATGTCCTTGACTGTAGAATGGTAACTAACATTTATCAGCTAACAAATGATGTTCAGTACTGCTAATAAGGTGTATCTTGAAAGACAGGGCATAGTAATACTACATAGTTGTGGTTAGTTATTCGCTTCTGTGCAATATCTGTGAATTGTACTTGCACTTTACAACACTTATGAACTGTATAGCACTTTATCACCTGACTGTATATGCATAGTTCCTTCTGAAAGAGCTGGAAGGTGAGAGGTAGATCCATGTTATCTTATTATATGTGTAAAATAGAGAAGGTGGTGAGAGATTAAGTGGATATACTTTTATTAGTCACTTCTGTGAATGCCATCGCATAATAAGTACCACCATAGTGTACCAGTGTATCACCAGTGTATTTCAGTGCATGATTTTTGTCTATACATTTTCAGTGCATGATTTTGTTCATATAGAGAAATTTGCCCTGGAAACACCAATCATCAGAGCCATAAAAGACTGTAGGATTGTCAGACTAAATTAGACCACCCTGTGCATTCCAAGTCTCTGACGGGGGCAAATACTTGTTGTTTCAGAGAGGGAAGAGAGAAACCCTAATGGGTATCCTGCCTAATGAGTAGTATAGATTGGCTTTATGTCACGAAGAGTTAATTTCTTGTGAGCCTTTACAAAACTCTTTAAACTCCAGTCTCTTCTATGAAAACTAGGTAATTTTGATGTCCATATGAATGTCCATCACAAAGTTCGGTCCCAGGTAGTACGTTATGGAAGTTAATTCCAGAAGCTCAGTAAGATTGATATGAAAAAGGAGATCTGTTTATGACTTTCAGATTTGTTTTTCTGTTGTATTCAGTGCTTACTGTTTTGTTCAGCACCTTGTAGCTCAGAAAGTATGCATGTATTTCTGATCCATAACTTCTGTACTGTTCCTATATCATGTAGGCTCATCATTCCCAGTCTTGTTCTTGCTGACCTTCAGATACATAGTTCATATTTTTCGGTGTCCAAACAGCTATTCCACTGTTGTTGTGGTTTTTTTTTTTTTCCTGAAAAACTTTATTTCTGCTGTAATTTCAAGATTGGGTGATACAACACAGTTGCTGAACACAATGAGATCGTAATATTTTGGTTTTTTATTTTGCGAGAATGCTATCCGGATGAACTTTGTAGTCCAGACTTGAAACTACAATCAGCAGTAGTTTTCCTCTCTTAAAAATATACCCTCCAAAAATCCTTAATGTCCCAGTACCTAAAACCAATAAGCAGCTAATGTATAAAGATTTTGCACATCATGACTATGGCTGATGTATTTTTGCTTTCTCCACAGAGTAATTCAAATTCAACTTCTTTGTGCCTGGCAATGTTGAATTTAACCTATATATCAAACGAAATTATTATCAATCGTTTAAGTAGAAAAGTAAGTATTTTGAGGATTTATTTTTCTATGCCTTTTAGATAACATCTTGTCTAATCAACTGCCTCCTCATGTGATTAGAGTAGGAGACACTATATAATATAATATAATTCATTGTTCCAACTTTGTAATTTAGTAAAGTGCTTGTAAATTCAAAGAGTCAAACTGCGATACAAGGACAGTTAATGAGGTAAGTCACAGAGCAAGGCACATAAACCGTTAGTCTCTTTAGTACTTATATTATCTTTATAGAGGTGAGCCTGACTTCTTTTGAAATCAGTTATGAGTTAGATTCCTAAGCTGTCAAGAATCTGGTCTTAGTTCTTCTACCTACAGCACTTGGTACCTGACATTTATCCTCTTTTCTGTGTGTGTTTTAGATAACAGTAAATTCAAGATATGCTTGGCCTACTGTTAGAAAATACGGGTACAAAGTTGAGGATTCAGGCTTCAAGTATGCAGTTGAGACCCCAACAAAAACCAGAATTCAGTGGTTTCACAATACGGGCGTGATGATAATTGAGTTTAATAGTACCAGAGAACCAAGAGCTTTGGGACTATGTGGTAAGTATAGGGTAGAACAAGAAATAAAGGCATTCAGATGCTTTGCTAGGGAAGCACATTTTCCTAATTATATAAACTAGCTTTTGCAAGATCTGGCCTGCAAAAGAGTTACTGCAGATCATTGCAAAGTTTAAGATACTATTGATATTAAATTATTATTAATTTTGTTAATTGTTGAAATGATGTTTGATACCTATCTATGTAATCACTTTTTACCCATAGTGTTGCTTCTGACTGTAACCTGATTGAATCACAGGCCTGATTGCTGTAACCAAACCCAAATGAGCAAGTCAGGCATAAATCCATAATGTCAAATAAGGTCATTTACAGATTTAGTGTTTGATATCTATCTGATAGGAAGCGATATGTGCTATTTTCAGTTTCTAAAGGTCAGAATGCACAGGAAATGTTAACTTGAAAGAACTAATCTTAGTTTATCTGTTGAAGGAAATAGTTCAGAGGGAATTTCTTAATAGTAATGGGTTAAATAACCATAATGTTGCACTCTATTAGGTCTGCTCAATAGTTTCACGTAGTTTCTTTGTAAAAAACATAGCCTCGAATAAGCTATTGGTGCTATAGCTTTTGCAGGTATGTGTTTGTTGATGAAAATCCCTGCTGTGACACCTGAATCTGTAAATTTATCTGCTGTAAATTGGAACTGGAAACCAGGGTTACAGAGTTCATATAATTACGGTGGATATCTTTCCAGTTTCAGAAAGGGCAAATGCCTGTAGCTCAGTATCAAATACCAGTGGTAGCTCAGTCCAGTTCCATGTCCTGCAGACAGTAATGTGCTTCTCGCAAAGGAAAAGAGTTTGAATTTACTGCCATTTTGAAATTGGATTATTATCTGTAATTTGCCCTAACTTTTGTTTTCAACATCATTCTTGCTCTGTTTGGCTAATTGTTATTGTAATTAGATCAAACAGAAACAAGAAAGTAAAGACTGTATTTTTCAGTAAGCCCGGTTCAGGTTATCCTGAAAGTCTCTTTTGCCTTTACCTGTTTGATTGCTGTGATAGGGAGAACTGGGAGCATTACGTTCCTGGTTGACAAGGCGCTTTAACTAGATGACAACACATTTCTGTCGATGGTGTTCCAAGTATGACTTCTTCAGAGAATGTGCTGTATTTTTCTGGTGTTCATCTCTGATTGGGATCCTTTGCACAGATCCTGCCTGCACAGTGATGTCTGGTGCGACTTACCAGAGCCTGCATTAAATGAGCTGGTTGTACTGCATCTTTTCAGGATAAATTAGTCTACCCTGATCTCCTGTGCTTTCTGTGTTAGTCTGCTTCTTGCATTTAAGCTCTCAGATGTCTTTTGGCTGAACTGCAGTATTGGTACATCCTGATTTCTCAGCTTTGTGGAAATGATAAAACTGAAGGCACCATTACAGTTTTGTAGCACCAAGTGTCCCTTGTAAGGATCTGTGTCAGAGACAATGGTGTCTTTTACAGTGGAAGGATCAGGCAAACGTGGCAACTGGTGAAGAGCTGGTATGGGAGGTGAGGGATGTGGGAAGGGAACATGGACATCTCTGTAGCAAAACTGGTGAGAAAGAGTGGAAGCATGTCAGTTTTAGCTGCAACCAGATCCCGCCAAGCCAAATGCGAAGCTTTAGTTTTGCTGTGTTAAGTCTCCTCGTCAATGTGTAAGAGAACTGGTGGAAAAAGATCCCATGACAGCAATCATTTGAAGTTTTGCAGAACCATCAGGTACTTCTTATTTGTGTTAGGTAGACTCACAACCTCAAAAAGTTCAACCAGAAACATTTTTGGTTACAGTTTCAAAAGCTGTTTTACTCTCTGAATGCCTGTTGCTGTATTGCTGATTGTCAATGGCTTGCTCATGTCATCAAGAATTGGTGAAAAATGGTAAAACAGGCCAGTTCTCTAGAAAGGGTTACATTCACAAATAGTTTTTGAACAGATAAAGACTTAGAATTGCCATGCAACTTTGTGGCGATGTGAGAAGAAAACATTATAGAAGTCTGATACAAAAGTCTCAGAAATTGTGATTAAGAAGAAAGAATGGGGGACTGATCCATCATTCTGCTTTTTCATACCTGCTGACTCTTAAAGGACCTTCCAGAGGAGACTACTGTAACACTTGGATGTTCTGTGCTGACCAAAGTCACTCTCCGTGTATTACATTGCTTCCTTTGCTCCAAAGTGTTTCGAAATTGCCAACTGCATAGTTTAAACGAACAAAATGTGATGCTGCCATCTGAGAAGTAAATACAGAAAAGTTTGGTATTTTTTTTTTTTTTTTCCTTCTCCTGCTGTAGTGTAATATAAGTATACCTGGAAGCGCCAAAAGCTGCACTTTTGTGGTAGCTCTTAAGCCAATAGATGCTTAAGACTGCTCAGAAGCATGAGTGGAATCACACAGTATTTCTGAAATACAGTATCAGATAAGCATCTTGGCATTTTATGGGAGTTTCGTTTTCTGGTAACATTCACAGTTGTCATTTGTTGCTGTACATGGAGGTGCTTTGCAACATTTTTTAAAATACATTTTTGTTTAGTGCTTGTGCAGCTGAGGGGTGAAGGTTGTGTACCATAGCTGGGCTCTCTGAACAGCTCTTTGATATGCAATGGATTTCCGTTCACCCATCTTAATTCATAGATGTATCTTTACTTTTGCTTTGCTTAATTTGTGTGAATTTTGTGTGTTTTGATCCTACCAGAGACTTTCCACATCTGTTGTGGGTTGTGATACTGTCACATTGTATAATATTTTAAAAGCTGTTTACCTGCTTGAATATGCCACTTCAAACATACTTCAGAATTAACTGTACGGTGTTAACCTGCTTTTTTTCTTCTGGTAATATACAGGTTTTTGTGATAGAAGCTTGGAAAATGATCTGATGCTACCCAACAGGACAGTTTTAAGCAAAAGCGATGCTCTATTGACTTTTATAGACAGCTGGCAAGTGCCAGACACGTTAAAGTATGTTGGAGAAGACAGGCATCAGGAAACTAATTGCTCAGTCATCGACTGCTCAGAGTGCTTAAGACTGGTGTTGAACCAGACCTTCAGCAGCTGTCATCCTTATGTATGTTAACTATTTTGGAAGTTTACGTTTTGAAAGAGATGCAGTTCTGATATAAATTTGTATACTTGGTAATTTCATTAATGTGAAACTACACGTAACCACATCTGTGGAATGAGATAGATAGATACTTTTTTGTATCTACAGTTGCAAAGTAGAAATAATAGAAGAGTGTGCCAGTGTTGTGGTTTAACCACCAGGACAGCCAGCTTGATAGGAGAGTTGCAATAAGCAATTAACACTTTCAGAATTCATAATATATCTCTGTTAGTTTTGACAATATCATCTCGTTTATAAATCAGTCCCAGCTAGTTCAACTGTATCAATATGATGTAGAGCAAAGTAAAATAAAATAGTTTTAGGATTTAATTAATCCTTAAGTATTCAGTAATTAACAAGTTCCGAATCACAATAGGTTATCTGAGAGCCTGAATTCTCAAAGGGTCTAGAGACAAGGAGTTCCAGTTTAGAGAGATGAGAGGTTAGAACAGACCATTTAAAGCAAACCTAAAGCAAATAACAAACTCACAGTGTGCAAATAAAGTATGTATTTGTGCTCATGTGAGTACATGTACCATTTCACCTTTTGTATATTGTTGAGTTTGATGGAGAGGAGGCCAAAAATAGACAAAAACATAGAGGTAAGGAAAAACAAGGAACAATCAGTAATTATGCCTTCTACTGGAAAAACTTAATTCTTGCCTTGGCACGTGTAAGAGATGAAACTAAGGAATATAAGGATGTCTTATATATTTTCAACATTCAGGAAGCCTTAATTTTAAATGCTAGTAGAGTCTCATTGTACACCAATGAAGGCTGGTGGCCTCTTGCTTACTGTGAACCGAAAACTTTTGGCCCCATTGTTTGTAGCTGATACTTAAAAAGGTCAGTCTGTTTCCTACCTACCAGGGTCTCTAGGAAGCTGCAATATTTTTTATTTTTTCTTTATTAGGTTCCACCTGAGCTATTCTGTAATATATGGGTTCAAGACACTGAGTACATTCGAAATCCATGCATTTCACTAGCTGCCTATGTAGCAATGTGCAACAAATTTAATATTTGTATAGAATGGAGGAGCTCTGATTACTGCCGTAAGTATTCTGCATGTATGTGTACCTCTAGTGTTCACAGAGCCAAAATTTACCTAATATAAGTGTTACTTATAGTTGAAAATACCATTGCTCCTTGAGTCCTCACGTACTTTGGAAGTCATTATTGAGACAATAAATTCAGCATTTTTTATGATACAATTCAAAGCAGCGTGCAAAAGGAATCAGGATCATTATAGCCATTTCACAGATGGAAAAGGTAAGCTAAAGAACCTTGCTCAGAAGTCTACCTCTGGCTTATGATGTACTTAACTGTAGAAGTCAAATCTTCTTACTTGCAACGTAGTGTTCATTTCTCTTAGCCACTTTCCACTGATAAAACCAAAACACAACAGAATTGGTTGTGGAAAGGAGGAAGTTACTGAAAGTTCTGTGGCACTTTGAATTGGTGATGTCTGCTTGATACTGCTCCAGAAAGCTGTGTCTTTGGAGAAAGGATTAGAGAAATGAAACACCTTGAGATTAGATGGAAAAGGTAAACAGTAAAACCTGAGAGCTAGAGTATCCTGGCAGAAGACATCTCCCATATAGCAACATACTAAAATGTAAGGCCAAATGGGATCTGTAGTTGTCAGTAAATAGAAAATTTGCTTTACAGCATCTCTTCATGCTGTCAACGATCGCCTAGGAAAAGCCGTATGCAGTAATAACATAGGGACATCTGTGGTTTCAGTGCCTGAAAAGAGAAAGACTTATTGATGAAGCGTGATCCCCAAAAATAAGAGAACTCGCTGTACATAGAAATCATAAGTGATGTCTTTATTTTAAAGTGATTTAAGGTGGGTACATGTGTACAGGCTTCATGAAGTTGTGTCGCAATGCCCAGCAAATAAGTCATGGAGTCCAAAGCTGAAAAACAGTCTTTTTTTTTTTTTTTTTTCTAAATCTTTAGTTTGTATGGACTTTACTAGCACATAATTGTTTAAAAAGAGATCTGACAAAATATATCATATACTTATGTATTCCATCTGTCGTGAAGGGACGCATCACACTCTTATTTTTATACCACAGTGACCTCTGGTGGTGCGTGCCTAGCAAGGAGGAACCATGAAGTTGCATCTGGATTTTGTGGTCGCTAAGTGTTGATATGCTGTAAACTGATTTTTAAAAGCCTGAGTTCCTCTATTTACAGGGCTCTAATATATATTTCCTGTGGGTAATTTTGGCCATTTTTAGTGGTGAGGAGGTGAATAAAATCAACCTCCTGTCCCAGTTAATCTTTAGTCTAAACTGGAACCTTCTTCATTTTTGAGCAGCCAGTCCCTTTGGGAACTGGACTTTGTCTCATTACCATGATTCCAGGTGGTGTTGCTGTATGATTTAGGTATCATTACATGATGAGGATCATATATTTTGGTAGTTCACAGAACCACACTGTTGGCATTTGTAGTCATTCTCTGTTTGCCATATTTATGCAGCTTTAATCACTGTTTGGAACCAATGAAATATCATGTTAAGTTTTCAACAGCAAACAACATGCTGCTTTGGTCTGTTCCTGCGTGCACCCATAACATGCCTATGAATTTACATTAGTAGTATAAAGAATGTTAAATTTAACTGTGTCCATTGACTTAAAAATAACACACACATACAAGAGAAGAATTAATGTAGATATCTATTAAATGTAGTAATGAGTTCATCCCATTCTTTATTACTCCACATAATGGTGAATTTGCCTTTACACATATATTTTTGTAATTGACAAAGTTGTGCCTTTTAGTAATCACTGCATTTTCTTTAGCCACTGCAAAGTATTCAGAATGATTCAGAACACTGTATTATTAATCTGTGTAGTATTTGCAAATGTTTTTGAAGTTTAAATTACTTTGTGTCAACACTGTTGCGTGGTTTGGTATCTCTACTGCCAAAATGCAAACCAAAGCCTGATGAGAATGTTACTACAAGAAGGCAAGTAAGAAAAGTGCTTGCAACTTCCTTTTGTTTGAATTTGTCATGTAGAAGGTAACTGGTCTGTATTGATGTTTTAGGTTGGTAGATCCTACTGAGTTGGCAAGCACAAGAACTTGACAAGATGACAATAATGTCTTCTCTTAGGTTCTGCCTCATTTGATTACAACTTCAGAATGAGTGATTTGTTTATTTCTGTCCTAGCTTTCCCCTGCTCTGAAAACTTCTCCTATCAGGCTTGTATAGCTGCCTGTCAGGTTGCAGATAGTTGTCAGAATAATGAGGTTGCTTCTCTGGACTCAGACTCCTGCTCAGTGTTGACAGAAGGCTGTGTCTGTGCTGGAGGGACCATCCTTCACCGAGCTCACACTGCTGTCTGTATTCCTGAAGAAAAATGTGGTATGTTTGGATGTGATTTTCTTCTTTATTATCTGCAATTTGGTGATCAGATACTTCATTAGTAATAAGTCGAGTTGTGACCTGATGTTGTGTGGGCTCTGCATATGTCATTCAGTTGACTCTAGGTATTCAGTAAACATTAACTGTACAGGTGAGCAAGCAGGGAATGTCCTTGTGACATACAATTTTGCTCATCTTCTCTAAGCGGGAGGATGCTCTTCAAAATGGAAGTTTTTCCTTATGTTTATGCATTCTAGTATTCTAAGTATATTAGTCTTGGCCTCCTTTTCACCTAGCCCTTTGTCAAGGGGTCCAACCTATTGATGCTAAATGACATTCAAAAGACATGCAGCAACAGTTAATTACACACTTTGAATAATACATGTATATGTCCTATGTTCTTCCTCCCAGCATCGATATTTATTTTCATTACAATTCTGCCTGAGCGCACCGAATCGTGGACCAATACTTAACACTAACACCGCAAACCGGAAAGATGCAGTTTATTATAAGTCAGATTACATAAAGCACTGTAAATTAATAATAGTTTTGCTGTGCGTGAAATACAAAAGTAACTTCTTTTCAGATCACTGCTTTAAAAATAAAGGATTGGATTGGGATTTTGAGTGACTAGCCTTGCAGTGGAGACACAAAACAAAGTGGAGGCCCTGATCCTCTGGAGGGTATTGGGTGTCTTGCTTTCCCATACAAACTCAGTCTCAGACTGTCTCCTCTTTCACTTTTTTGTGGGGTGATGGGGATAGGTGATGCCTTTAAAATGCTGGGATTTTTATACTTCATAGTTCCACACCCGCTGTGGAAGAAAATGGTGGTCAAAATTTGAAGTAAAAAGGAATTACTTCCGTTTTCTATTGTCCTGATCTAGCTTGTACAGACAGCTCAGGAGCACCTCGTGCAGTAGGTGAGATCTGGAAAACTTCTTTGAGTGGATGCTGTATGCAAAAATGTGTTGACAGTGAGACCATTATTCCAGTGGAGTACAACTGTTCAGATATCCACAATTTAGAGTGTCAGCGATTTGCAGAAGTGGCCTTGCTTGTTCCTGGTGATCAGACATGTTGTCCTCAGAAGATCTGTAGTAAGTATTCCTTAACGATTATGAATATTGTCCACTAGAATATGCAGATATCCTTTCTCTGTGGTTTGTTTTCCTGTTACACATCCTACTTTTGAAGTGAATGGAAATTACTTCGGTTTGAATTTACAGATTATGTAGAAAACTGTAGAAACTTTGTAGTATGTGGCTCAATATCCAGTAGGTTTTGGGGGAGAGAGAGGGGGAGGTGACAAGGGTTATAAGGACTGAAACAGCTCTGTGTTTATTTGGATGTGAATTGTGTTTCTCAGCTGTAAAGGCTACTGATTTATTTTTAATGTCCAAATACAAATAAATGATATGACTCATTACTAGGAAAAAAGATCAGATAATTGTTTATCTAATTTATAAAGTGAGCAGTTAAAAAAGCTTTCTTTTTAATCCTTATTTAGTTTAGAAAATCCATCTTCAAAAAGAAATTGCAAGCAGTTTTCACGTTTTGACCACCTGGGATGATGTTGCAGTGAGTTTTCCACAGGAATTTTTTTTCTTTTTTTTACATGCTCACAAGGGCTCAGCTCTAGTTTAACTTTGCCTCCATGGAGAGTGTTGCAAATGCTGGACACTTCTGTATATTGCCTCAGGGTTTTTTGCTAGTTTGTTGTGGGTTTCATATGCATGTTGTTATTTGGAGATTAGGCATATCGAACTGAAGATACTGCTTCCCACTATCTTTAGTTTAGAAGGTTTTTTTTCTTTCCCTTTATGTAACAGTTTGTAATCAGAGCCTCTGTGAACCCCTAATCCCTGAGTGTAATGGCTTGGAAAAGCTGGTCACTTACTACAGTGAAGAGTCCTGTTGTCCCAACTACGTTTGCGGTAGGTTTCTTTTGAAAAGGTAAAAAAGGTCACCCTGTAAAAGACATTCATTAAACTAAATAGATCAACGTAGGAGCAAAAAGGTAGGTAGTGTAGACATCATTGTTAGTATCGCCATTTACAAAATTCTCTTTCACCTAAAAGCTCAGGGTTTGTCTGTGCCCCGATTTGAGCAGATATAATGATGGAGGAGTCTTGTGTTTAACGATCAGGCGAGAATGTGTCTTTAAGTTCTTGTGATACAATGTAAAAGTTTTTCTGAAGTGTCTTGTAGTATTTCTTTGCTCTGCACTGCCATTTCTTAGGGATATAGCATAACAAAGGAAAAATGCTATACTTCATATAAAGAAATACATCCGTTGTACTCTTTTTCAGAATGTGATCCAGCAAAATGTGTACCAGTGGAGCAGATGCCAAGCTGTCAAGATGATCAAACACTAATTGCTGCTCGGGTGGAGAGTACCTGCTGCATTTCCTATATATGTGGTACAGTATCCTGGCTGGTTGAGACTATAAGTGGTTTTGCATATGCAATGATGTCTACTATTATCTTGCCAGTTAAGGCTCGTTGTACTTCCTTTAGCTCTCCCAACATAGTAAGGCTTGAAGATGGTTTAAAAAATGGGCATGAAGTTTACAAAACGTAAGGAATGGCAACAACCATCAAGAGTCACAAAACAGCTTTGTGCAACTGAGTAGTATTCTTGGGTCATGTAGAGGAGTGGTGGTAGAGTCCATGGATGAAGGAGTTGAGGGCTTTTGAGAGACTGTCCATGTACAGTGTGTGGACTAGCTGCATGAATATTTCATCTGAAAGAAGGCGGTGAAATTATATATGATCTTGCTCCACATATCCTGTTGTATCAGCTATGGCCTATCTTATTCGATGGTGTAAACATCCCATATGAGAGTATTATGCAAACTTGTTCAGTACTTTTGGGGTTTGGCCTTTAATGACTTAATTCAATAATAAAATTGCACTTTTGGCATGAGTGTAGCAGTTCCTATGTTACCATACAGTTGTTTTCTGTATGATAATAATGTGATAATGAGGTCCTATTGAATTTACTCTGTTTTCACACACAGATATCTGTGAATCAAAGGCTGAGTCATCTTGATTAGCTCTTCTATGTGCAAAAATTTGAGCATTAATAGAAAACTGGAATTATACTTCTGTTATTTACAGTAATCAGGGGGTCACTTTGATCATGTGATAGCAATGTGCTGTGTTTGGCTCTTCTCGCTGTCCGCACAGCCTCCTTCTGTCTCTTTTTTGATATAATGAGTCTTTGCAGCGTACATATCAAAAAGTACCCATTGTGGTTTTCATATGTGTTCAGGTGGGAGGATAACACTGGGATCACAGGAGATGCCCTTTATTAGGAATCAAAGATCCTATAATTCAGGCAGAAGAGGATTCCTGAATACAGCAGGGTGACTTGGTAGGAGAGAAAATCTAGCAAAATTTTTCATAACAGAATGGGAGAGAAAATCCTGTTTGTTGTGATCTGACTCTCAAACAACGTATTCATTCTTTATAGCAGGGGACAAAGAAAAGGCAAGCTGCACTGAAAATTAGCCTCTTGTATAAGGACTGTAATGCAGAGTATCTCTGTTCTCTTTCATACGTATCTGTGAGAAACTTAAGGGCATGTTTCCTAGGCAGTAGTAAAATTTCTTCCTATGTTTTAGATATAAATAATTGTTTTTTCCAGCATGCGAGGCTTGCTCTGATCAAATACCCAAATGTCAAGAAGGAGAAGTTCTTATTGTGGATGGCAACACTACAGAGAGGTGTTGCCCTACATACCAGTGTAGTAAGTTTGACTTGATTTTGATATTTTAAGTAATAGAGAACATGTCAAATTTTGTAGTGTGGATGTTCAGTGCCAGAAATGGTGGATTATATATACAGCTCCAGTTGTACATATAAGCAAGCTACTTGTAGTCCTGAACAAATAATCTTTACTTTTAAAACTTCATGTGCCTAAAGCATTATCTGAATATCTGTATCAAGGAGACAAATGAGTAATTTCAGGCCCCAAATTCTGGAGATTGAAAATTGTTTTAAATATTTGCCTAGAGTAGTTGTACTCCATGCTACTATTACTTGATGGCTAACTATTAAATTTCAATTATTAGTCTTTTCAAGTCAGATGTTTTCTAAAGGTATTTATTATGAATAAGTCATTTATTATGTCTTGATTCATATTTCCATTCATCAAAATATGACAAACTTGTGTTTATTGGACTTTCTTTTCCTTAATTTTAGTTTGTGAAATACATCGTTGTCCTGAATTCAGATGTATGCTAGGCATGTCTTTGGTGGAGGTATGGAGCCCGGAGAAGTGCTGCCCCTTTCGAACATGTGGTAAAATGACTGATTTTCATTTTAGTTGCCTTAGACAGTAAGACACTGTAAGAGCTTTGGCCTCTTGGGTTTAAGTCTGGTTTAAGCCAATTATACCATTGTGATCTGCTCATGAACAAATGATATAGAAAAGTCATCTCATGGTAAAGAACTTCCTAATCTGTCTGTTTTGTTTTTTCTTGCTCCACAAGGGTGATTGCATATTGTAGAATTTGCCTGCCCAAACTGGGTGACTTATCTTGAAAATTTTGTAAGAGAGAGTAAATTATTTATGGCTCTAAGAAAAAAAGAAACAAACAAAAAAAAAAGGTTAGGTTCACAGGTCAGGAATTTGCCAGTTTACAAAGACAGTAGTATATCATACATCTCTCTGTGATGCCTTAAACACAATTCTCCTTTGCTTTATATTGATTGTAATGATTGTCATCACTGCAAGGAGGCTAGTGGCTAAAAAGATTATTTTTTTTTTTTTTTTTTTTTTTTTTTTTTTTTAATGTGTTCAGATAGACTGCAGTTGATAGACTGCAGTTGATACAATGCTGTAAATTGGAATAAGTAAAGGTGGTCACAGAAGCTGGTATTAGTTTTCAGGATGGAATAGAAATCAGACACAATTCTGGACTCCCCATATGGGTATATTTCAAAAACCAGCAGAATTTCTTCAGTGATGACTTATAAATGTGGAATTTCTATTCTCTCTGATGCTCTGTTTTAAGCAAATGGCATATAACTTTCTAAACTATTGTTTCTGTAATTGTATTTTGTTTTAGAATGTGCATGTGAAACGATCCCCAAACCTCAGTGCAAACTGGTAGGAAATTTATCTTCTCTGTCAGTATTCTTTCATTAATTTCTTAATAAAACTATTTATCACTATGTTGCTAGTAGTTTTATCAGTGAAATATGAAATGCCATGTCATTCTCTTTTCTTTAAATTGCTTTGCAAGAAGATATATCCATTTTTAAGAAGCCAATTAAGTTTAAATATCTTGCAGAATAAAATGGCTGTATAGCATTGATATTTCTGGAGTTTTTTATAACCATATCCTGCCCTGAAGTATTTGTAGAGTGGAATTGCTTTCATGCACCTGAGGAGAAAATTCTGTTTTTAAACTGTCAGAACTAAATACTTTAAAGCATCAGCGTTTTGTTAATATTACTTGTTATAGTGAATATGTTGACATATATCATGCACTCAGACTGCTGACTAAGCAGAACTTTTAAACTGTATTTCATTGTGATTTGCTCAGCATTACAAAAATGCTTACTAGCGTTGCTGGGTTAGGTTCTCAGTCAGTACTCAGTATGCTTTGATTTTATCCAGAAAATAATATTGCGATGTGAATAATTTATAAAAATTATAATTTGGAGTCCTAGGAAGGAATTGGAAATAGTACTCATTTTTTATAGAGGAACTTCAAAATGCCTTGTAAGTGAGGCTGTTGTTAGTACTTTCATTTCATGGATGAAGAAACTTGGGCATAAGGAATCGGGACTTGCAGAAAACTGGGAGAAAAATCTTAATATGCATACGTATAAACAATAAAAGGCAAAATTAAAAAGTACATCTGTGCTATTGTAACACTATTTATGTCCATTAAGTTATTCCATGAAAGAACACACTCCATACTGCATGGATATTTCTGTACAAAGGCAAGCCATTGCATTTCATTGTTGGCCTGGCTTAGTCTTTTCTGTGCTAAATGTCTGCTGTACTGACACCAACAACCATTCCTGTTTTTCAAGTGTAAAAAAAAAAAAAAATCCCATTTGGTTGTCATTACTAAATTAAATGTCCCTGTGGGTGATGAAAGTGGATTCAAAACAGGTTTCTAGGGGCAAGAGATACTGCTACTCAAATCCTGAAGGAAAGGTGTTTAAAAGAAAAAGATCATACAGATAAGAAAACACTGTCGTTTCACTTCTTTTTTTTTTTTCTGCTTTTATACACTTAGGGGCAGAAACTTCAGATAGATGAACAGTTTCAGAACAGTACAGAAAATATCTGTAACTGTGTTAAGTACAAATGTGGTAAGTCAGAAAAGAATTTAATTCAAAGAAATACCCTTTCAAGTGCTAAGGTAAATTAGGAACTGTAAATTGGATGTTCACTTTGAACATGGTACTGAGGAGGAAAGAATTGACTGACATAATTCACAAATAGTGTGAGAAAAGGCCAGAAAATAGGACCCCTCACTAAATATTTGGTTGATTATGGCCTGTCCTGCTATCCTATTAGTTTCTGCAGCAAGGAAATAGCAGACAGAGTTTTGGGAAAGTTGAGTGGTGTTGACTAAGCAGCCTGCATATTGCTGAGCTGAAGTAAGGCCTCCAGCAAGAAACTAAAACACACACTCAATGTCCACATAAAGAAAAGTCCACTAACCCATTATGGGACTACTCAGGAGCTGGTAGACATGCTTATGTGCTTTACAAGATCAAGGATAGCATTCCACACCATGCAAATTCATCTTAGAGCATGCCCAATAGCATCTGAGAAAACTCAGGAAAAAGTAGTTCCTGTGGGGCATCCAGTTGGCCAACAGAGTTGGGATTGTCCTTGCCTAGATTTCTACAACAAAGATGTATACTTCTGAGCTAATTATCCTCTGTGCCCTCAGTAATCAGTGGGGAGCAATAGACATTTCTCAGGTACATTTCTTATCCTGAAGTAGACTTATAAAACAAATCAATTGAAGAAGCCTACACTGTCATTTTGGTGGTGCAGCTAATAGGATATTACATATATTTTTATATATATATATATATATAAGATTTCGTGCATGGTTATATTTGAAATAATTTGGCGATTGTAGTGAAGTATTAGACTACTATTAAGAGTTTATATTGAAAATCTGACCCATAATTCTTAAAGAAGTAGAGTAGCTCTTTCCATTCCTGTTTCACTGTTTGAAACATTTTTTAACAGAGTTTTGATACCAAGATGATTGTCCTGAGCATGCTGTTTATTTTTGTGTTTTCTTGTAGTGAGAGACAAAGTTTGCCTGAGTAATGAGAGAGCTGTGCTGCTTCCTGGACAGACAATTGTGGAACACAGTGCAGACGGCATTTGCCGTATTTCTTACTGTACAAATATGATTGATCCCTCCACTAAATACTACCGTATGAACACATCTTCAATAGACTGTGCTGTCAACTGCAAATCTGTAAGAAATTCAGAATTTTAGATGTGTATATTGTGACTGGTGGTCTTAATTACATTTCGTGGGGTTTTGTTGAGTAGACTACAGTCATAGGAACAAGATAGAAAGAGTAACTATGAGATCTCCTTCTAATGACGTGCTACCACACTTCTGATAAAAGTTTATAAAAGTCTCACTCCCTTCACTGTTTTCTCCTCCGTATAAATCTTATGCAAACTAATGTATATAGCGTACTGCCACCTTGGACTGATAGCATATTGCCACCTTGCAACCCTGTATGACTTTAGCTGCATTATGCACAAACTGGTACAAATTCCTGGCAGACATTAGCTCAATAAGAATTCAGAAGAGAATAATTATAAATAGAAGAATAATTCTAAATGTGAAAACAGCTTTAAAAAATAAGCAAATGATATCTTGTCTTTTTACAAAGTATTATACTTACCATGGGAATATTATATAGATTACTACTTCTAATTATGTACTGACTTGACGACTAATGTATAAAAAGTGACAATTTCAGTGGTTCTTGAAGTAAGCTGTCAGACTTACATTTGACAATGGTAGAAAGACCCGTTCGTTCTCTCAGAGTTGGAACAACTTCTCACTTCAATTAAGATCAAAGGTATTTTATAAAAGCTTCATGAATGTACAGTGTGTACAAATGTAAGCTATGCAGTTTTGAAAGTTTTTTAAAAAACATCCCTAAAATCGGATACCTGAAAAAATCTGCCCATTACAGTAGTAAAATGTCGAGCTGCAAGATGATTTCATACAAGGAATAATCTATTTGATTTTGGCAGAACCAAGTCTACCAGCCTCCAAAAGATTTAACAACTTGCTGCGGTAGCTGTAAGAACTTGTCTTGTCTCCACACTTTCAGCAATGGCACAGTTTCCAATTTTAAAGTAAGTTTATACATGGCTTAGTCCCTCAAAATATTTAGAAGTAAACAAAAAAATTATGAGATACTGTACACACATTGCCATATAAAACTTGCAAAGAAGAGCTTTATTTGGCCAAATACTAGGAATAGTTTTGCATGTACACAACATAAATTTTTTGGAGAGTCAATCAGTCATGCCTGCAAAGATTAAGGGATTTTGATATATCAGAGAATTATCATCAACTTGACTATTTTAGAACCTGCTTAACATTATATATTTAGTGGATTTTTAAGTTCTGTACTTAAACAGAACTTTAACGTGTCTAAGTTATATTTTGCTATAAGTATTATTTTTTGATTCAGACAAGATCACATTCAATGGAATTGTATCATAAATACTTAAAATACTGTATTTGCTGAGTTGCTGAGTAAAGATTCTGTTTTACAATTTTTAACAGCCTGGTACTGTTTGGATTTCAAACTGTATCAGATACGAATGCACTAACACAGCAATAGGACCAGTTCTGGTTTCCTCTTCAGTTGGCTGCCCACCCTTTAATGAAACTGAATGTGTGAAGGTCAGTGTTCAATGCATTGTTTGTATTTCAGCTATGATGTATGTTTGCATGAAAAGATTAACACTGGCAAAAGACATTTTTACCTCAAGAAGGGAGAAATTATAAATTCTGGCAATGTCTGCATTTTTGCCCAGACATTTGAAGGTGAAAAACTCTGACTATACACGTATAGTGTGCCACCAGACTGCCCAGTAACACAGCTGGAGAGAACTATTCTTATTCTCAGATTTTTTTTTTTTTCATAGAGGCTTGTAATATCAAACCAGTCCTCATACAGCTGTCTGAACTTGGATGCTTTTCTGGGTTGGACTTCTCCTTTCTAACTGATTTTCTGTGTATAGCAATTTTATTCATCATAGTGGTCAAAAACATTGAAGAAAAGGAAAGATTGAATATCAGGAAAATCTTTTCTACAGTGAGACATAAAGTTTTGTGGACTAGTTTTGCAGGAGAAGCAAAAGCTCTATTTGAATTTGCAAAATAAGATTAGACTAAGTGCCAGGAAATGTACGCAGGGAGCAATCTCATATTGCTCTCTGTAATTCTACATTTACCTGTGGATGGGAGGATACTTTTCTTAATGAATGATGGTACACAAGCAGGCAACAGTCCTAAAGGAACTAGGTGGCTGTAGTTCTTCCTCGCAGATAACAATGGATTGGTTCTTTGGAGAGAGTCTCAGTTACACAGCTGGTGAAAGGCCTTTTGCTGTTCTCAGCAAACCAAAAAAGTTAAGGCAGAGAGATCATCATGGCTCGAGATACTGAGGTGGACATCCAAAATTGAACTCTCCTTCAAGGTAATCCTTAGAGAACTTTTTAAAAAGCTGCACCTATTCTTCCCAGAGTACTCTGGGGAGTGCCTATGCTACAGCACTGAAGACAGCCATGACTCTCCACTATGGGGAGCGGGTGGCTTCTCATTTAGATGAGATTTCTTCCTGCTTTGAATTCAGAATCAGTTTTTTGTGATTCAGTATGGCTTCTGCAAGAAGTCAAGGGTTTACTCTAAGTAACACATGATGGAGTAAGACTGAACGCAGTCATTCCCTCTCCAAATGTGGCATTTTGATAACTGGTGATGTATAGCGGCATTCAGTGTGACAACCACTTAATACTCACTTGTGTTAAAACAGTCAAGTTCAATCATGTACAGCCAAACCTTCATCCATTCACGAGAGTGCTGCATTTGCCTGAATAACATTGTGGAGCTTTATCTGGAAGGTATTTCTAATAGTCCAGATGCAAGGGAATGAATATTTGGAAAAAATCAAGTTTTTTCCTCTTTATTTCTCTCTTGGTCAGGTTGGAGGCTATGTTGTACCATTCTTAGAAGGCTGCTGCAAAACATGTAAGTGATTCATGACAATTCTTGCCTCACAAGTCTGTCTGATTTGTTGTTACCTTAGAAATAAGGTTGATTCTTTTCTGCATGAAAGCTTGATTCACTGATCTCAAAGGCTGTGCTTTTCCCAGTTTTACTTATGTGAATACCACTGAAACCAGTGGAGTTAAATCAGAAGAAAGTAGTTTAACATTGAAAGGGTTTACTCTACTGATAGTGATTGTGGCTGGCCAAGTCACTAAAATTGCTACCTTGAGTATTTTGTAGTTCTCATGTAAAACTCCTCAAAATATTAGTTACTGCATTTAGTATAATAAAAGGTACTGTGTTCTGAAAGGCATCTTAAAACATGCTTCATCTGCATTCATATCTTTGTATTTGGTAAAAATGAAGATTGAACTACGCAGTTTCTAAGTTAATGCTGTAAATAATTAACTGATTGTAATATAGTCTTAGGTTCCATTAATAGACACAGTTTAGAAGCTTTCAGACAATATCTTTCAAAAGAACTTAAAATTAAAAAATCCCCCCTTACTTGATTACCAAGATATGTTTTGACTTCTATGAGAGCTAATAAAGGTTCTCTGGAAAAAATAAAATAATTCTCTACAGAATAGGTTCTAAATATGCTAATTCTTAATATAAATCAAGCATTAAGTACATTTTTTCTTAACACACTGGTACACAGCTGAAACATTTTGCCTGATTTAATGAAGAATTTAGCCTGAGGCAGACACCTAACCTGAAGAATTTAAGCTCTAATACTTGAAGTTTACAATGTTATAAGCTATTGAAAACAAGATTTTATATGGGGCAGTATCATATTATCTTTAAAAAGGTGCAAAAATCTCACTTTATTTGCATAAGTGGCTGGAACAGTGACCTAAAAGCTAAAGACAGTAGGCAATAAAGTGCAGGAGAGAACTGGAGAAAAGTGCAGATATTTCCTGCTGGGTGGGATGGGACTTGAACAACCCTGACTACCAGATATGGTACCACGTGCACAGTTACTGCAGCAGGATATATGTTGGCAACTGGGAGGTACCTTTTGGTGTTACTCATTATGTATTACATTTTGTAGTACAAAGGTTGTTGAAACTGTGGAAGATTTATCTGCTTTTTTTCCTGCTCAGGATCACTGTAAGGGAATGGTAATACATCTTCATGTTTTCTCACTCTGATGGACCCGTGTTTCAAGCGCTTGTCTTAGTTCTGTAGCTGATTCTCCATAGGCTCTTTGAGATTAGTTTTTGATTATCTGACGTTACTCTTCAATGCCTTAGCAGGCATATAAGCCAGCTTCTGAACAAACAATTTATTAAGACTGTTAAAAATCCATTAAGCTACTTTTCAGCAAGGCAGAAGATCTTGCTACTATACTTAGAGAAAGATCATAACCACAATCTTAAATAATTAAGACAAAAGTAAGTTATTAATCTGGGACATGCATCACAAAGTAAAATTAAAACCTTGAGGAATCCAGTGACTTCTGAGATGCATTTACAAGTAGATTAATACAGTTTGGATTTCACACCTGTTTATAGACAACATAGTACCTCTATGAATCATGTAGTTCATTCTGACTCTGAACAAATCTGACATGAGAGCTGTTAGTCAATTGTAATTTTGTGAGATGTTTTATGAGAAGGGTTATCAGGTTCTTGTTTTCTTTTGATTTACTTTACCATTAGAAACCATTGTGATTTTTGCTTTCAGTTTTGAGTGGTACTTGAAAATTAAGTGCCACTAGTTTTATCAAAACCTAGGGAGTTTTTACAAACACTGCTCAGAGAAAATTACGATTTCTTTCTTGTAGCCCCAGAACAACTTAAATGTAGGGTACCAGATTGTCTTAGTTATACCAGTGTAGATCAGATCCTTCCTGGTTTTGACATTAGGCTTAGCAGTGCAAGTAACACCTGGACATGGTCCTGAGCTGCTGGCACAGTGATCCCTGTGTGAGCAGGAGGCAGGACCAGATGACCTCCAGAGGTCCCTTCCAACCTCAGCCATTATGTGATCCTGTAATATACTGACATTTTAAGGTTGAATTCTTTTCTCAAATATGCCGAAATCTAACAACTCCAAAATGTTTCATACTGACAGGGAATCCTCTGTAACATGTACTCTGTTCAATATGTAATATTCTTACCAGGTTCTCCAGTGTCAATGCTCCTCCCATTCCCTGTTAGCCCAGTCACTCCTACAGCCTACGCTAGCTGTAACACAGGTACATTTTCCTAGAAATAAGTAGGACCGACCCAAACAGCATCATTGTTGATTTCCAACAATGTACTCCCTGATAGGAGCATCAGGCTTCACATTACGCAATTATGCCAAAAGCTGCAGTGTAGTGTAACTGCTCATGGTTCAGAGTGGCTCACATTTTGGTTTTGTTTTGTTTTTCATTTTGCACTGTGTGGGCGGTGCATTGTTGTTAGCCAGCAATATACTGTTGGTAGTAAGCACTTGTGTAGTCTTTAGCTTGCTGCATGTGTAAAATTGCTGTGTTTAAAAATGTAAGCTAATTCCATTGTGTTCACAGTGCTGTAGAACATAGAGACTAATGGCTTTGCTTGTTAAAGCTTGCTATATAAACAACATTTTTGCAGCTGATGTATCGTATAGTTTTGCTTCCAGTGACATAGATAGTAGAAGCAGGTCGTTTATTTCCCATCCGTAGTTAGGACAGTATACTGAAAATAGCAAGCCTGTGTTTACTCCATGAGAACTGGAGATTATCTTTGTTCTTTTTAATAGAGCATGATAATTTTTTAAATTGTAACATGGTATGAATGCAATTGTTTTGGCATTTATTTTGTGAAAACATCTCTCTCTGCAAGAGAAATGATGTGATTTTGTTAAGTTACAGTCATGACTCTAGGAGTACAACACTGAAACCTATATTTCATATTGACATCACTTTAAATGGCGAAGGTGTTACGAGTCTACCCAAAAACCAAGCAAGGATTTTCAACCATACAGACTGTGAAAAAGAATCTCATTATAACACGACACATATAAGATGCTCACATGTTTTATATGGTTGTTCATGGAAAAGTATATTATGTTGTAGAGCTCATTAAAAGCCACTGGACATTAAAGTACATGCATGGAAGTACATTATATATTTATTTCTTTATGAGATATGATGTACTTTCACTATAGCCTGGATGAAGTCATAGCCACAGCTGCACTGAATTCTCCATCCTACATGCCATGTATAATGTAAAAGAAGAAAGGACATGAATAGGACTACGAGAAACATGAAATAATGGTGAGTTTTTTATTTTTTAAGAACAATTTATTCTTCATTTCTCAATTTACGCTTTCCCTAAGCAAATATAGTTCAATGATAGTTGAGCAGCAGCCAGCCATTTCTGATCGTAGATTTTTATTTACTTCCAAGAAGACTCATTGCTGATCTTTCTTTCATGTGCTAGTATTGGATATTGGTCAAACCAATGAGTCTTTCATTGTCCTTGCTTTTCTGGAACCAACAGTATTCACCTTTTGTCAATATCTTTGGATTTCTTGGCTGGAAGAGAATGCAGCTCTGTAAGTGGAGAGTCATGCGGACTGCATCATGGGGTTTAAAATCTGCTGTGAAACTGTGAAAGCTGTCATAATGGAATGGACTATTCATTTCTCTTACAGATCTGCAATGGGATGTGGTTTCTTCAGCATAGAGAGGATCATCGTGAGAAGATACTGTGCTTTCTGATCCCTAATAACTGAACTTTATACTGAACTTTTTTGCTTTTCTTCAAATGTTCAGGATTACCTTCTTAAGTTTAACTCCTCTTATTTAATTTCATTTTTTCTTTTTATCATCTTTATTTCATCCATATACTTTGTACATACTTCTGTGAGAGAAATTGTGGAAATAATGCTAATGAAAATGTAAATAAAAATTTAATTTGTTCACTGGTGTTCTTCTTCTTATTTAATAAAAAACATACAGAAATGTAAAGCCCCCTGAAGCCCTATTCTTCATCAGATTCTGCTGTTAAGTGTTCATTTTAAATTTCGTTTATACCACTGGAATGCAACTGCTGCTATTAAAGTTTGTTACAGTTATTTCTTAGAAAATGCACCTTATGCATTATTAACAAGCCTTCTCACAGGACTGGTTGATGAATTTTACAAAAGTTTTTGAAAGACAGTGGACTTACTCTTAAAAGGCTTCTGAGTGAAGAATGAATCTTTTATAATTGTTATTGGAAATATAATGCGACAGATACTTTAATGCATGAAATAGAATAGTTTTAAAAGCAATACAATGTATAGCTAATGTCACTTTGCCAAGGTTTTGTGTGTGCAGTGATGTATCGGGTATTTTCTTCTTTGTGTCTCCTGACCCCATAAAACATTCAGGAATGTTCTTGTCTCTGAAATGCTTAGAATTTTGAGCTGATATTTTTCAATCAATGCCCATTTTGCAGGTAAGGAAGATGGAAAATTCTGTAAAAAGGTGACTGTGAGGATGACTATTCGCAAGAATGACTGCAGGAGTAACACACCGGTAAGTAAATAACTATCATAATTTCTTATAATAGAAGGGAAAAAAATAGGAGAAATAAAAAGAAGGAAGAAAGGGAACACACATTCCACAAGGCTATTATTGTCTGCATCTCTCTTTCACAGAGACAGAGGTTTCTGTGTTTCGAAAAGCTGCTACATTCTCAGCAATCATCAACTCAAATAATAAGAAAAAAGGGGATGTGACTTCTGCTTTTGTATGCATTTAGGCGCATGTTGATTTAGTGCAAGTCCAAGGTCTCGGGTCACCCTGTAATGCAATTATTATATGCAAATTAACTTCGATATAACTGAATCTTGCCAGTGATATACTACAGTTAAAATGGCTGCAGATGTGTTTAATTTTCCATCTGTCTAGGGCAAGAATTTAAATGCCAACTTCATGAAGAAAGGAATCTTGGGTCCTGAAGGTTTGGGGTTTTTTTAGGCAGCAGCATGAGCATACTGTGAAATGTGGAGGAAGAATGAGGCGCTATCTGTGTGTCTACCGAAGGATTTACTGTAGGAGGACACCAACAATGTCCTGCTGGGCAGTAAGGGAGTGTGAGCAGCAGCACGGGTGGAGACAGGCGTCTCATGTGAGATGTGTAAGAGCGCCTGGAAAAGCTGTAATAAAAGAGTATAGGGAAACAGCTGTAACCTCTAAAATGACTCTGAGAGTGTGTTTCGTAGAGTAAACTGTTGAGCAGCCAGGAAATTTAGTCTCAGTGTCTCGTCGAACGGAAATGTAATTCCTGACTATTAAACTTGAAAAAATTATCAGTTTGTATGACTGTTTCTCTTACAGTCTGTATTACAGTTTTGGTATCATTAGTAATAATTCCCCTTGGCTTCCAAAGGATTGATTCTTTACATTCCTCCTTACTGATACCAGTATAGCAACACTGCATCAGTGTATCACTGAAACTAATACTGTAGGGATTTGTGGACAGAACCTTTGGTGCTATGTTCAAGCCGAAGTTGTTATGAATACTTTAAAATTTAAAACTGAAATAGTTTCTTTGTGTCTATTAATAGCCAAAATCTGCTGTTACTGAAATTGACAGGAAAGTAATAATTAATCTCAGTAAGATAAAAATTGAGACCTATCTGTGCAACGTACTTCAGAGTTTATTACTCAGACATAGTTGGATTTCACAAGGGGCTAGAGGAAATACCTCCACGTTTTTCATTGCTTTGCCGTTGGATTTGGGTGCCTAATGTCTTTGGACTTTCTTGAGAACTCCTAACTTTATTTCCTAGCTGCTTCAATCTGCTGATTATTCTTCATGTTTGTTACCAGGTGAACATTGTTTCATGTGATGGAAAGTGCCCATCTGCCAGCATTTATAACTACAACATCAACACATACGCAAGATTCTGCAAATGCTGCAGGGAGCTCGGACTACAGAGACGAACTGTGCAATTGTATTGCACTAGTAATTCAACCTGGGTCAGCTATTCAATCCAAGAGCCTACAGATTGTTCTTGCCAATGGTCTTAAAAAAAAAACATAAAAGGAAAGAAAACAGCAAGCCCAGCTGTTCCCAGCATAAGATAATTTGAATAGTTCATCTATTAAAAATACAATACCCAATGCACTGAATTTTACCAGTTTAATGCTAAAAGATAAAAGAACAAAAATATTTTTGGACTCTTCTAAATTTCTGAAGAACGGCTTTGCATAATTTGTATTGTGATTTGTCTTCATGTTCACTTCACAGGGATTGTTTTAAGAGTTCTTGTGATATGTGCCAACTTAAAAAGTGAAGTCTTTTACATTAGAGACACCTCAAGAGAAAGAACACCATCTGTTTTGTTCTGGAAGGCTGGCCCACTCTTAGTCAGGCACTCATTCCTGTTTTAAATTGTTGACCGGCTTATCTGGCAGCAGTTCTCTATTTTGAATGCATTGCAATTGTGCAAATACATTCAGTGTCTATTAAGAAAAATTGTTTGGACAATATGAGAATTTTCAGTTTAAATCATATTCCTATTGCAAAGTAGAGCATGTATGAGAAATTCAATTAAAGATTTTTTTTTTTTTTTTTTATTAAATCAGGGAAACATTGTCAATACTGATAACTGTATGTAATATTCCCTGGTAACAATTTCAGGTTTTCTAGTGTATTTTATATTGTAGTGAAAAGCGTTATGGCAAACACGTCATCTATGGAACAGATAGACTCTTTTTAGGCTATCTAGATTACTCATTAGTAGTTAGTTTATCTTTCTGCTAAACAATATGACATAAACTGAAAATACACAGATTTAACAAATGACAACTATTTTACATTCCTTTATATAGATAAACCTTAAATGAAAACATTCAGCTTACGAAATGCACCATATTTAAACTGTTTCTTTAGGAAAATGAACTTCATTTGACACTAATTTTAAAGATGTGAAAATTCATTAGGAAAAAGAAAACCAGGATTATGTATCCATCTAAAAGAAAAATAAAGTTGAAAATCTTTGTCACCAGTATAGTAGAATGTAACTTCTTATGGCAAGTGTTTTATATTGAAAATGTACAATTGTAAGGTTTGAAATTTCAAAAGCAATTTTGCTCATGAATTAACATCTTGTTGTAATGAACTAATATTTTTTCTCCTCTAAGCTAATGTTGCTGTTCTATTCTTTTCCAACAAATGCCACCAAGATTCAGCAAAAATTCTGTAGCTTTCATTTTGTAGATTAAAATTGTAGATAGCGCATAGTGATACGCTTGAGATCCTATAAGAGAATATAGATCTCAGCATAACTTCTTAAAAAGCTGCTTGTCTGCAGTTAATCCAAAGAAAAATGTGTTGTTAAAATCAATTGTGAACATTTTTTATATTAATTTTGTATACTGTACATTTCATTCTTACAATATCTAATAAACAACAGGAAGTCTTATTTTGTTACAATTAATTTTGCTATCCTTGTTAAAGCAGCTACTATCATGTGATCCAACACATGGTGTATACTGATTTGTTTTTCAGCAGTGCACAGGGTTAATTTTAGGGTTTGCTGCTATCGCTAGTACTAATGATCTAATGCTACATCAAGGAAGACCTGCATATGGGTTTTTGAAAATATACATCTTTTTCTGATTCCATCACAGTTCACTTTCATACTCAGAAATGCAAAATTCAAGCATGTAATTTTATTCAAAACAAAAATTGGAAAACCATTGCTCATCGAAGTGTAACAACACATGTGTGACACTAAGTGTCAGATAGGCTGTTTGTTCTGGAAAAACAGGAGAAAAAAGAAGGGTAAATTTCTGCACATTTCCGTTCTGCAGCTTTTTCCTAAACCGTCCTTCAGCATTGACTGCAATGAGTAGACTCTGTTTTGAGTAAGTGTAGGCATTTTGTTATAATACGGTTGTTGTGTAGTGATGATTACCCTTCCGTACTCAGGGCCAGATAAGTTGTTAAGATCTTACTGTAATATGTGCAGTCCCTACCCATTTGGTAAGACATGTTCCTTGTTCAAAGACATCTTCTAAATAGTGAGGAGGGACAGCGTTTGGGAGGAGTGCATCCTTTGGAAAACCATGGACTGAGTAGCAGGAAAAAAAAGTGCTGTTTACAAGGCATTGAGCAGAGCTAAGTCCTTGAACCCTAGTGCCTAATATTCAAGCTTTGGCATTTGCAAAGGTGAAGTTCAGCCTCCCTTAGTACCAGCTGGCAGATGCCATCCTAGAGGGTAGGAATTAGTAAAAAAGCAGTCTCTTTTGCTCTCAAGCAAGATGATATTTTGCAGTGAAGTGCCAACCACCAACATGAGGGACAGAATTAGAGCAGGACTTGGGCCAGCCGCCACACTGCCCTCAGCTACGATGTGGTCCCTCCTCTTGCTACTCGAGCTAATGGCAAAGCACTCATTGCTTCCAGCAGCACAAGGTGGTTACTCTGAAAACCATTTGAGATCCAAACTTTCAACTTGTGGTTGTAAAGCAAGTTAATACTGGCAATGAGAGCGGAAAGCAAACTGCTGTGTATCCAGTAACAGTAATCAAACACTGCTGCTTCTGCTTCAGGAGTAAAATAATAAACATTGTGTTAAGTCCTTCTGATTTTGTAAACGTTAGGCTTATGCTGAGAGAAACAAGGGGAAAGATCCAAACTGCCTATGGCTTGACAGGGGGAAGCTACTTTTATTCCTGCCTCCATGTTAAATTCCTTCACAGACGCTTAGCCTGGCTGCCTGTGGTTAGTTCAAAGCAACCGGGGCCCTTACCGTGTATTTACCTTACACTGTGTTTGCACAAAGCAGCTCAGCTGGAAAAAGATTTTGCCTTATTTGTACTTCCACATCTTTGGAAGTCAAAGGACGTCAAGGAGCTGTGGGTTTCATCTGGCTCTCCCATGCAGGAGGCACTTGGATTGTAACAATATCAGAGTCCTAAAACAACTTTACTTTCTTTTTACTAAAAAGTTGTCTTTTGCTTGATTATATAGGTGTAATACAAAGGGTATACAGCACTGAAGCTATGCTCTTTGGAATACGTGCTTATTACTATTACAACCTTACTTGTGTATTTATTACCCTTAAAGGCATATGTGCGCTTGGAGCTAACGAAATACTGGAGCCTTTATGTAAGTTCTCATAGTGGCAAAAGTTAAATCCTGCATTCAGCACATAAAACAAGTTGCTGGAGGGAAACTTGCCTTCTAACAGCATTGCTGCCATGATGTGCTCCAGTGTTACAGTTGTTCCTGTTGCAGCAGCGCACTGCACACGGCTCGGAGACAAAACTGACTGGATCCTTCACAGAGTTCAACCAAGATTTCTTGCAATATTTTGTAGAAGAACAGCGTTTCCTACAGATCTAAAAGAAAAAAAAAAAAAAAGCTGGTTTTAGATGCCCAAGAGAAACAAAAAAGCTGCCTATCCAGCAGATACTGGGTAGTCTTTTGGAGAGCCACCTCAGCTGGGTGACTGCTGGGGCAGCAATGGGTGTGAAGGCCTGAGCCGGGACACCCTGCTCCCTCCCAAACCTGGGGATAGGGCAAGAGAAAACACCTGTGCTGCTGCTGCTGCTTCTTAGAGAGAATGCAGGGTTTAAGGGAAAGGGGTTAAGGAGAGGCCTCCTCCCCTCCCTCCAGCTAAAAAGCCAATTTGTATCAGCTGAAGCCTGTTTCTGAGGGACAATAAAGGTGGAGGTGGTGAGGGTGCTGGGCTGGGTGTCTGGGGAGTAAGGCAGTATGGAGGAGGTAGTGTGAGGTGAGTGCTGTTTTCCTGAACTAGCTCCTTATTTTAGAAGAGAAGAAGGTCCAGTTGGTATGGGGTCTGTGGGCTGTAAAATGAGGGACAGGAGGCATGTAGCCTCTGGCAGAGGTCTTTAACCTTTCCCTTGTACTTGTCTCAGTGTGGCTGTGAGAAAGATTTGAGAAGGTAATCTTTTATTCTGTAAAAGTTGACTTCTGGGTGGTGAAAGCAGCAAAGAAATAATTAAAAATGCTGCTGGTGTTGGAAACCTTTGCAGTTGTACAATGTTGTTGAATTAGTTCTACAGGCTTTGCTGGGAGAGGTGGGTCTTGGCTGAAGAGCAGACCTGTCTCACTTCTGTAAATCTGGAACTGTGGTGATTGCTAGGGGAGAACACAGCTGCTGATGTCCTCTATTTTTCTTGTCTTTTTGCTGGCTTTAAGTCTATCTGCAGGAATGGACTTCTAGAGGCTGATTAATTTAGATCGAACTCAAAAATGGTGCTCAGATGATTCCTCCAAACAAACAAACGCTGTTGGTGCTCTTCTGGCAGACATCTTGTGACTGCTGCTCTACAGGGCTGAGTCCATTGTAAAGTTCTTTATCCTGAATAAAAGAAACCAAATTTGAAAAATTCCCTTCAGAAAGTAGGTGACAAACTGAGTAATTTTGGGCAGGGGGGAATAAGAATATTATAAAAGTGGGCAGGAATAGTTTTCTCCTTGATCTCTAACATTACAGTAAATAACTTTTTTTTGTTTGATGTGAATGAAAATGCTGTGGGAGTGAAACTCTGACCCTCTTGAAACTGCAGCCTGTTATGTTTCTTCACAAGTCTCACAACTTTACACCACCCCTGAGGGCCATGTTCTCCTCACTTGTGTTTGCATATGTGGAGTTTCTCCACAAAAGTGATTCCTAATGTAGGTACAGAAACATCGTAGGCTTGTATCTTGTTAAAACTAGGTTATTAAATCTTTCCAGTGCTGGATTGTTTTCCATTTTTGAACGAAATACTTAGTGATTTGAGTATGGAAACATTGCTTGTTATGGTGCTGATTGCTCGTTGTTATCTCCTTTAAAAAATGCTTTACTTGCATTACCTCGAGCAAGCTGACCCAGCCATGATTCACAGGACAACATAAATGATTTGGCAGCTGGAGCTTTGAGTATGATGGATATTGGCCATTAAGAAAGGCCTTTAAAGAGAAATACAATGATATCAATTGTGCTATCTAAACTCTTACTGTCTGGGTTATTAGGACATGATCTGGTCTCAGGATAACAGCCTCTTGAGTA